TCATACCAATCTTCTTGAATATGCTTCTGTGGACTATAGATCTCTTTCCAGGTATCATTCTCTAGAGTGTTTGCTATATTTCTTTGTCTAAACTGTACTTGGAAGTGATCTCGTGTTTTTTCCAAAACTTGTTTTTCCTCAGAGATTAAGGTATGATACAATCCCTCTTTTACGATCCACTTTTCTAGCTTAATTTTCTTTAAAGGTTTGTTTAAGAGACTTGCTATCATTTTCCCTTGGGTATTGTATATCATTTTATATCTTATTTTAATTTTCTCGTTTATCTCTTTTTATGTTGCAGTCTCTAATTCTCTTTGGTTCTTTTCTTTAAGGATTTTCCACCAACCCTTAAGATCTTCTAATGAGTCTTCAGACCATTTATCTTTAACTTTCTGGATATTTATTTGGAACTTTTTATTGATTTTCCTTATCTCTTGATTAAATGATTTATTTTCTTCTAAGTCTAGCATTGTGTTGATTTTTCTTTTAACTTTCTGTAACCATCTACTGAGTGTTACTACTACTTTGTGCAGTCTAGATCATCTTACTTCTTGCCTTTTGATATATTCTACATTAGAGAGTTTTTTCTTTGGGATAGCTTTATTTGCCGCTGCTATAATACTTCTTTCTAGAACACTCCAGCACTCATTCAGGTTATCCAATACTGGTGTTTTATTTCTTGTTGCTAAACTTAGTTTCTGAAAAGCTGTCTCTTTGTTTTTAAGCATTTTATCTAATTCTGCTCTATAGTTTTTCCAGTCATCTTCATTTGCTTCATTATATAGAAAAATTGTTCTTTTTTGACTCTTTCTTTTGGCACTCACTGAGCTAGCTTTTGATGTAAAAGAGCTAAGTTCCAATAACACATCAATACTATTATGATCATTCTCTGTGCATGTAGACATATCTTTAATATTGGCCATCTGTAAGCTACCTATTAGTATTTCTGAAACCCAAATTTGGTCGATTTGTGTTTTTGTATAGCTATTTAACCAAGTAAACTTAGATGCTTTTGGGTTTAATACTCAGAAGGTGTCTACAAAATTTTGTTTAATCAGCCAATTATGCAATGGATCTATTTTTAGCTTTTTGCCTTGTAATGATAGAGTCCTATCAAGATCCTGATCAATGATTGCATTAAAATCTCCCATAATAGCAAAGTGTGAGTTAGGTGATATTTTCATGAATTTTTCTATAATGTTTCTTCTTATGACTTGTTTTTTGCTATTGTCGTTCAGTGGTATATATAGTACTATAATGACTACTTCTAGTTGTTTAAAAAGAAAGCTTGCTGCCAAACTGAATTCATCAAATCTATGAATAAACCCTAAATGTTTTTTTCATCTTTCTGATATTATAAGACCTACACCTGAACCTTTTTTTTTTTCTTGACAAGCACTTGACCATACTGTATGATAACCTTTAAATGGCTTGCTTAGAAAAAACTCTTCTTATTCTGAAATGTTCATTTCGACTAACCTCACTATATCATATGTGTTTTCTATTGTCCAATCTATTAATAAATCAAACTTTTGTGAATTGCCTTTAAGCCTATTAATATTATGGCATGCTATATTACAAGCCAAATAGTGTTCTTTTTTAATCTGTTCTACTATTATTCTTTCTAGCCCTTCTTGATCTTTATATATCTTTTTACTTATGTTATTAGTATGCAGGAAGCTAGATCTGCTTTTGGCTTGGTGGATGCCTGCGGTGACTTTCAGGAACAGTTAAGAGCTAATGCCCCCGATAAGAGAATTGATTCATAATCTTTTTCAATTTTTGAAAGCTTTTTAAGGATCTCCACCAAAGCCTCATGCTGTGTAAAGTTGTTTGCTTGTAGCTTAGTCCTCTCTTTGACTTTTTTTTTCTGGGCTTAGTATTAATATATATTGGTGGCTGTGAAATAGGTACAGTGTTGGTATCAAATTCTTGCAATTCTGGAATTTTGCGTTTGGCTAATTTTGCTTTGCCTGTATTATAAGTATTGCTACTTTCTGCTTTCTTATTCATATTCATAACAGAAAGTCTTTTTTGTGGTTGTACTATAAATCTAAAGCTAGTACTTGAACTGGGTTTGTTCTCTTTGTTTTCACAATTATACTTGTTCAATTTTCTATATGTATTTGTATATCTTGGCTTTTTGTCTGAATTTTGATCTCTACCTGTTTCAGTTTCGTTTAGTTGTTTTTTTCCCTTGTAACCGTGCAAGTTATCTTTTTTATAAGAAAGTTGAATATTTGTATAATCTTTGCCTTCAAAGCTATTTAAGGTTGATTGCTATACAAGCTTAGTGTTATAATGGTCTAAGCTTGTTTTTTGTACTTGAATACGAGCTTCTTCTGATTTAAAATAAATATGTGCCCTTTCATTTTGGTTACCATTATAGTTGCACAATGTATGCACTACTTGTACATTGTATTTTTTAAGTTGTCACAAAAGTAAACTATCAAGTGCAGTTCTGGGTACATTATAGATTGTACATTTGTATTTGTTTCTAGCTTCAAGTGTAGTGCTATCAAATCTTCCAAGAGTTGTTCTATATGTTTTGCTCTGGTTTAATTGTATTGACCAATTATTTCTCAATGAGTTTTCTCTTTTCTCTAAATTGGTTGCAATTTTGATATAAGCTGCCTTGGTTTTAGGATATTGTTGCCATGCGAGAAT